TATATAAAGTGCCTAGAAAATGAACATTACGATGTTAGAGTAGATCTGATTCTTTACTTCCTCACCGAGTCGGACTGGAATTAACCTGCACTTCTCACTTCTACGAGAACACCGCCTAGCATTGCAAGAAAATTTCAAGTTTCTACTTAAAATAATAATTTATATTTTAAATGTTTTCTTATGTACCTCTTGTGAAATTTGAAGTAACCTCAAAGCTTCCATTTATTAGAGAAGAGTAATGGTAGCATTTTAAAGACTTCATGTTATTGATTTCCCGACTTTTACTACATCATCATAATGATACAACCACTGAACATATAGTTCATTGAACCGAGTATAATACTAATGCTATTACTGAACATAATGAATAATCCACCGAATATAAAGAAACCGGGACCACTGAAGGTAATACATAATGTACTGCAAATAATATTGAATCTACTGAACATAATGTCGAAAGTACTGAACATAATGAAAAATGCACTGAGTATAATGTCAGAAGTACCGAACATAATTTAAATACCACTGCATATAATAATGAAACTACTGAACATGATAACCAAAGCACCGAATATAATGTAAAAACTACTGAACATAATATGAAAACTACTAAACATAATATAAATACTACTGAACATAATGCATAAAGCACCAAACATATTAAACAATCAACATCAGAAGACAGTCATGGCGTTCCATACACCTGCATACTGTTTTATTATACTTTGCTTTATAAGTGGGGTTGGGGGGGGGGGGGGTGTAGCATAGCACGCCAACGCATACACTCTTTTTTTCGCACTGGCCACGATTACATAAATCATCATTTCCGTTAACAACTTGCGTTGTTATTTATATACAACAGTAGCTTTTCTTATATTTTTTTTTCAACTTTGTGTTGTTTTTTTTTCTTCTATTTTTGAGGATTTACATCTTTTCCAATCATTTAAGCATCTTTTGCGAAAGAAAATATATTATGACCGAATCTTCTATGATATTATGTTCATTATATGAGAAAAATGGTTTGACAGTAGTTGAAATTACCCATTTTACAGCTACAAGGGATTTCTGATCCAGAAATAGCTAAAGTTAATCATTCGTCTTTAGAAGTAAGTGATTATATGAAATAGTTTGAACGATAATTTATTTCATATTATATATACATGTTGAATAATTATAATCATACAATGTTCTAATCAGTGATCATTAGTCGGTGGCGGAAAGGGGTTGTTTCGGGGTTTGAAACCCCTCTATTTGTTTGACAACTAATGCTTTTGTATGGGAACATATGGGTGGAACTCCACTTTTTATATAACTTGCATGTGTTGGAACCCCCTTTTAAAAATGACTGAATCCGCGCCTGATTAATGGATAATAGGCTCGGACTTACAAAAATAGAATAGGGTTGTTTAAATGAAAAATAAACATAGAAAGGTTTATGAAAATACAGATTTCGGAATAAATGCTGCACCAAAGTCCGTTGAGTTTTATCTATTAACTTTGTATAAGCCAAGTTTGGGGGGAAATAAGGGCAAAATGTATGATCTTACATTTGTAATCATGGTTCGTATCTGTTATAGTATCTAAATAAAATGCAAAAACGTTTTGACTATAAAATTGAGAATGGAAATGGGGAATATGTCAAAGAAGACAACAACCCGACCAAAGAGCAGAAGGCCACCAATATGGGTCTTCAACGCAGCGAGAAAATTCCGTACCCGGATGTGGTTCTCAGCTGGCCCCTAAATAAGATTGTGTACTGGTTCAGTGAAAATGAACATCACACTAAACTACAAGACATATAAATGAACTAAAATTAAAAAAACATACAAGACTAACAAAGGCCAGAGGCTCCTGACTTGGGACAGGCGCAAAAATGCGGCGGGGTTAAACATATTTTGTAAGATCTCAACCCTCCCGTTATACCTCTAGCCAATGTAGAATAAAGAAACACATAGCAAAGAAACACATGACTATTTAATTCCTGTGCTGGCTTTATCGCTTTAAAAAGATTAGAAAGGCCTTCATATATAAACTATCTAGAAATATCTTCTTGAACTATATCCTTCTCCCATATTCTATGGAGCGTTTCAACAAAAAGATACCATATCATGTCAAAGAAAAATGTCAATGAAATCCGGAGACAGCAGTCTTTTCTTCAGCCCACAATCATTTAAGAAATAAAACTTTAAGCTATCGTTGTTCAATTTACATTCACTATTTATTGTTCCATTACTGGTCGATTTCTATTTAGATAGTCCTCTTGCACAAACCCCCATATCTGCCAGAAGTCGGTAGAGCATTTGCGTTCGGTGGACGAGAGCTGATACGCTCTGTTCTAGATTCGTCTCATACAGTGTCAGGAATAAAGAGCTTGTTGTCTAAGACGAAAAATTAACTTTAGATATTTCTGATTTGAAAACAAATTGCATCAGATTACCAATCAATAAAGTTGTTCTTTATTGTATTTGTATGTTTCTATATTATATAATAGAACATAACAACTTTAAAGCATATAATTAATAAAATATTGGGTACGAGTTGGTAGAAGTATGAGTTGGTTGAGTACATGTTAACTAAGGTACGAGTTGGCATGGATCCACAGCGACTTCGTGCGGAATATTGTGGAACTATTTCATTCTTGATTTGTAAAACTTCTTGATTTTTACCTTGTTGAGTTTTAACTTGTAGTTTTTCTTGAGAAACGGAACTTCTCATTGGCTGGCAGCGGTAACAATTACACTGACACATTCTCCCAAAACGTGACTCAAACAAAGAAATTACATTTCACAAATTAAAAAATGTAGAATTTCATGTAAATAACGAAGAAAATATGTTAACAAATCAAGAAATTGCATTTACACATTAAAAAGTTACATTTCACAAATCAAGAAATGTAAAAATGCATGTAACGGTTGGAAAATATACATGTTACACATTAAGAAGTTACATTTCACAAATCAAGAAATGTAAAAATTCATGTAACGGATGGAAAATATACATGTTACACATTAAGAAGTTACATTTCGCAAACTAAAAAATGTAGAATTTCATGTCAATAACGTAGAAAATATGTTAACAAATTAAGAAATAACATTTTACAAATTAAGAAATGTATAACTATGGCGGATATTCGATTCAATATGCCCGGTGTATTCGACATATTGATTGTGTTTTATGTGTGCGACGGAAATCAGTGTGATAGTATGCGTCATTTTAACTACTGTTAACAATTGTGTTGGTACAGCTGTTCGTTTACTAGGGTACATGTAGCTAGTCTTTCTAAAGTACCATAATTTATCACGTGTGAAACTATAAATACATATTAACCGGTAAACAGTTAAGGATGTTCGCTCCTCTTGTTTTTGACTTTTTGTCAGATATTCGGAATCCTCTGGTGTTATCCATGCTCTGCCATTAAACATTTTGCCCACTAACCCCTACTTTTCTTTTCACAACTTTATTACATATTGGTAAAAAGCCATATTTGAAGATGTTATAAAATCCTTGTTATTTGTTCATAGTTTTTGAAAGAAAAAAGGTGGCAATGTTAAAAATATGAAAAATCTAGAGAGAATCATTTCCCGCCAAATTTTTAATGGCTTATATCTCGAAAACAAGTACAAGAACCCTTCATTTTTTTCTGATTTTTTAGTTCCATTATTTATATACTTTCAATTTATAACAGTCTTTTAAAAAGCTTGTTATTTCAGAACAGAGTAGCGAACATCGTTAAGGCCAATTTCCCCTGTACTGTTTCACTTTCAAGGTCAAAATCTTAAATAGATTTAAGAAGATATGGTATGAGTGCCAATGAGACAATTCTCCATCCAAGTCAAAATTTATAAAAGTAAACCATTATAGGTCAAAGTACGGTCTTCACCACGAAGCCTTGGCTCACACCGAACAGCAAGCTATAAAGGGCCCCAAAAATTACTAGTGTAAAACCATTCCAACGTAAAACCAACGGTCTAATCTATATAAAAAACGAGAAACGAGAAACAAACGACAACTACTGAACATCAGATTCCTGACTTAGGACAGGTGCAAACAATTGCAGCAGGTATAAACGTTTTAATGGTACCAAACCTTCACCCTTATCTGAAACAATTAAAGTCGTCTTATCCTGCTGGAATTTGAATCAAATTATAATGTTATTAAGCGGATGCATGTTGATATTGAAGGCCTTTTAATGCAAACATGCGTTTTACATGTTTTTGTAAATGTTGCAAGGAAGGATGTCTGACCTGTCACCAAAATGTAATTCTTTGTATACGAAAGACAAAATATAGCCTTACTTCCTACAGAGTGTTGGTTTTGGTAATTTCGTGCTCCCTATACATTTGTTTGATAAATACCCAGTATTTGTTAAAATCTGTAAAAAATTTCGGGTTTATGCTATCTTCGGGCGTTTATAACTGGAACAACGTTTTAAAAATAATCCCTAATAGTACAAGAACCTAAAATAATGTAAGTAAAGATTGAAATACTGTTTAAAAATGGCCCTGGTGTGAAATCAATTCAGAGGAAATATCCCCTTCTACTTTAGAGTTCATAAAACAACGTAAATTGGTAAATTGTGTTAAAACGAAGATTGCAACTCCCTACAAATTGTCCAAATACGTTTTTGTCTATTATGCTAAGGTCATAGCAAGGTTACAGAGCTATCAAAAGATAAATAAACGTTTTCTTTTCCATCTTTTGGTCTCGAACGCTCTTGAGCGCTACTGAGCTTGCGCTAACCTGAGCGCACATGGTGTGTGTGCGAAAACCGTATCATAGTCTTTTCTTAGCTAACACAATAATAACACTTATTTTCCGTCATTAACCGAGTCTTTGGCGATGAAGGAAAGTGATTGACAAGGACCTGTCTGACGTTTTACAAAATATCAGTGTGTTACTATATTAAGAAACAAAACTTACATAATACGTGTCGGACAATTTTTGTGTAATAAATACATTAGCCATTTAAAGAGATGTGCATACTTGCATAAAACAGGTAGATATAATATCAGATACATTGAATACTCTGCATACATTACAATTGGCTACACTGTTACTTCTTACTCTATCAGTTTCTAAAGGACTTTTCATCTTCTGGGACAAATACGACATTTTTCGTGAGTATGTGCCATTTTAAATATAAGATATGTGGATTAAAAAAAAGGTTCATTATAACACTGGAAAAGTAACCCTCATTTGAGAGGAATTGTTACTGATTTTAAGAACTTTTCTCAATTTGATTAGTTGTGCTTAACCTGTTAAAGTTCTGCCTTTTCTGGATTGATTGATTGATTGATTGTTGGTTTCTAAACGTCAAGCAATTGAGCCTAGAGCAAGACATGATGGACTTTTTTTTTCGATTCTAATAGATTTCAGAACTGTTTTTCGTTCGAAGCGGACCTTAATGCTCACAAGTATATCGCACGAAGTCACAAAGATGTGATCTTAAAATTTAAACTGTTTTTGATGATTTAAATTTAAATTTCAATGTTTACAAACATTAACACTAATTAATATTATTCTTAAATTATCAAAAAAAGTCATACATTTTTTTGTAGTTCTGGCCTGATTGGGGAGGGAATTCCATACGTGTACTGCGCCTTGAATTTAAACCACTTTTTTTCACTAAAGAGTTAATATTTTATGCTAAATGGGAGATAACCGTACTTGAACTGACTTTCGTCGTCCCGGCCTACGTTAGGTATAACTTTTATATAAAACATATCACTTTTCCTGACGCCTCATATTTAGCAAATTTTGTCAAAGTAGCGATGTGCATTTGTGCGTAAAGACTGATTTTAAATGATATTTAGTAAAATTGCATAAACAATATAACGACCTTCGAATAATTGTGTTTGAAGTTTCAGATATATATGAACATTTATAATAATTCTAAAATGAAATTTGATTCATATAATTGATGTTGACAATAACAGTGCTATTCCTTTTATTTTAGTTCCTTCATTCTCTGTGATGTGGTTATGTGTGTGCACACCGAAAGACAAAACTTCTGTTGATAACATATCAACAAATACCCTCTATAAGAAATCCGGGTACAAACGAATTTGTGAAAATTTCATTTTAAATTCTTATAACATCGCACAGACTCCTATGTGGTCTGAATGTAGCGTGCTCGCCTTCAGTGCGGAAGGTCAAGAGTTCGACCCCGGCAGTTTTGAAATAAAGACTGGAAAATCGGTATTTGCTGCGACGTATGCACCATTTATATTAAAAGAAAGAGCAAATACTGGTCGTCTCTGAAATGTTCATTGGTTGTCGCTGGTTCATGTCTGTCATATTTGTTTATCATAAATTGTTTTGTTATAAATTAGGCCGTTAGTTTTCTCAATTGAATGTTTTCATATTTTTATATCGGGGCCTTTTATAGCCGACTATACGGTATGGGTTTTTCTCATTGTTGAAGGCCGTACGATTACCTATAAATGCATACATCCACTTCATTTGAACTTGATGGATAGTTGACTCATTGGCAATCATACCACAACTCCTTATTTTTATATATCATGTGTATTGAACAAGTTGAAACCTTGTGAACTAGCAAGTTCAAATCCGGCTCAGAGTGTTCAGATTGTTCATAATCAAATTGCATATGTCCTTGTCTTGATATATCAAACAGTTGCAACTGGACGTTAAACACCAATAAATCATTATCACCATATTATCACATAAAAAATGAAGGATGTCATCTAAGCTTTATTTGATTTGCACTACTGCATTATGATTTATCATTGCACGGTAACGTTTGGTTACGTTCTGTATTAACTATGTTTTGCTATACTGTAAAATATGCTATCGACAACAATATGGTATTTGTTGGCAAATACTAATTTTTCAATTAAAAAATGTGACATCAATCGTTGACAGTGGTTCGTTTTAGTTTGGAATTTTATGATGGATGGTTATTTAATGTCAAGTGGCAACCATTACATGCACTTGCAATACATTCAAATATGAACACTGGTTTGTACTAGACCGATAAGATGAGCCAGACATGTTAGGGCGCTAGATAACAAGGTAACAGTTCATATGAAGTCATACATGTTAACCTTCCAAGATACACAATACCCCAGTTCCGGGATACGGTAGTTAGTTGAATCTGTCATGTGACTTCCATCACAATGTGACTAAAATGTATGCATCGTCACTTCCAACACATGTCGAGCGAACGGATGAAAAAGTTTGATCTTATACTGCACAAATTATTTGGGAAATTAAAATCTAATAAGTTGGTCACCCTCTCTTCAGTCGTACGGGAATTAAAATTACGTACTTACAGAACATAAATTATTTCTAGACTACCCTGCAGAAGGAATATTCTCAATTTCTGAAAGTGGTTGAAACTTTAATAGAGCAGGGATACAGGCGCGCCTTCTATCTGGTAAATGACGTCATAAAGGCGTGCGAAATTGACGATCTTTTCCGGTGAAAGACATGAAACCAGAACTAGCCTATCCCGTCCCTGAGCCAACCAGTCCGTACTCATATCCCTAAATACACGTCTTTACCGTAAAAAAATAGCAAATACCAACTTTTCAAACTTTTATCGCCAGATGGGAGTCGAATCTACTACCCCCGAAATCGAAATTCCGCATGCTTTATTTGAAAACCGCTATTGTTTGTCATAAATGTACATAACTCCAAGGATTGAATTGGGTATAGATATATGGCCATCCCCTGAATTCATCAGTCCATCGATAAAAGTTAATGCTTGCTAAACTGGGACGCGCGTTTAGACTGTGTGGGATGTAAATGAATCCGCTTATATTCCTGTCGGAATTGAGACGTTAAATCCACTGCCTTGTGTAAACTGAGTGTCACGATCTCTGCACGTGACCGAATCATTGCAACAAATTTCCAAGGGGTCCGTTGGTGGCCTGCTGCAAGGCAAAATTTCTGCCCTTTTCAAACATCCCTCATTTTCCAGTGTCAGTCGCAATTAAAGCCCTAAGGTGGACCTACATTGCAGAACTTATCTATTTTATAAATTGTTTATCCGTTTTGTCCTGAGTATGCATGAATTTCGCCGTTTCAAAATCTAATGCATTCTGGGTAACTTCATTGTTCGTACCCTAAAATGAAAACAACGTCACGTCATTAATTGAATTTCAATTGTTTGGGACGTTGTTAACCAATCACAGCGTTTTGGTGTACGCTTTTGAAAATATCATCCCAGAATGCATTAGTTTTGAATTGACTATAACTCAATCAATCATAAATTATATTGTTTACTACAAATCAGGATAGTAAAATAGGTATGATTTTGGAATGAACTGACTCAAAATATAAAAAAAGGTTAACGCATATTCTCCCTTGTTTTAAAATAAGATACTCTTTATGTTAAATAATCCTTTTTATTGGTTATACAGAAAGACAATAATGTCGATAAATGGAAATGTCACAATAAATCGTGAACATCTAATGGAAACACGGAGAAGAAATATCAAGTACAATCCTCGAACAAAAGATACTTTTACTAAAGATGTATCTTCTAACATCTTGGGGTTCTCGGTGGTCGAGTGGTCTTAGTAGTTCATCTTCAGTGTTCACTATAAAAATAAGAAGACATGGTATGATTGCCAATGAGACAGCTATCCACCAGAGACCAAATGAAGTAGAAGTTAGCAACTATAGGTCTCCATACGGCCTTCAACAATGAGTAAACCCCATACCGCATAGCAAGCTATAAAATGCTCCGAAATGAAAAGTGTAAAACAATTCAAACGAGAAAACTAACGATCTGATTTATGAACAAAACAATAAACGAAAAACAAATATAATATACAGCAACAAACGAATATCACTGAATTACAGGCTCCTGACTTGGGACAGGCACATTCAGATTGTGGCGGAGTTAAACATGTTTGCCCAACCCTCCCCTTACCTGAGACAATGATGTGACCGCACAACATAAGATCAAAATATAAAAATCCGTTGAAAAGGTCTTAACTCATCAGAACGATAAAAAGCACAAAAGCAACAAACAAAATCACTAAAGACATAAAGAACTGGCCTGTTAACACTGAATTTGTGAGTTCGAAGACCGCTTGTGGCAATGTCCCTTTAACTTCAAATTGTCGAGTAAAGCCATCTTAATTGAATAAAATTGCAAATTTTCCTACCGAAGGTCGGTAGTTCTATCCGGGTACTCCGGTAATCTCCACCAAATAAAAACTGACCACCATGACAATAGCCTATAAGAGTGTTGAAAGTGGCGTTAAACATTAACGCATAATCAATCAATTTTGCATCTTACTAAATTTATGCAAAAGATGTATTAGAGAATCTAGATGTATATGATAATTAAGACGTGCCTTAAATAAATTGAGTTTTGCTAAAACTTCAAAAAGTTCCTTATAACGTCACAGTGATGACTGCTGTTTTTGGCAAAATTTTCAGGAATTTTGTGTCCTTCAGTTTCGTATATTTGGCCTTTTTAACTTGTTTTGATTAGAGCGTCACTGATGAGTCTCTTGTAGACAAAACGCGCGTATGGCGTATAAAGTTTCAATCCTGGTATCTATGATGAGTTTATTTTCATAACAAATCAAAGGTTACATTTCCCTTAAATTTTCCCATAAAGATGCAAAAATATATGGCTAATGAAGTCAAACAAATTTGTCAAATAATTTCACCGGATCATCAAAAAAGTAAACAATGTTATATACTGTTAATTAAATTTGTTTCAATCTTTTGGTTGAAAGAACATTTAGAAGATTAGGTAGTGTAAGTAGGTATCCAAAAATAATAATAACGTTCGGTCATTGCAGTATACCGATGCTTATTTTATATTCTTAATATTCTGTTAAGTACATGTTGTTAATTAAATAAAATGCATTCTGGGTAATGTTTTCAAAAGTGTACACCAAAACGTTGTGATTGGTTATAAACGTCCTTAACGATGGAAATTCGACCAATGACCGAACGTTATTATCATTTAGGGGTACGAACAATTAGATATAGAATTTGAACGGCGAATTGATCGCGATTTAAACAGAGAGAGAGAGGGGAAAAAAGGGAGTGAGAAAAACTAGTTTAACCTCGCCGTATATTCATATGCCTGGTCGAAGTCAGAAACTTGGTCAGTAAATAAGCATCAGTAAGTAAAGTTTAAATTCTATTGAGGGTTGGTACAAATATACTGATAGCAATGGAACTTGGACTTTTGCTTGTTATGTAGATAGCTCTTTTGCCTGTACCAATTCAGGAATATGACAGTTGTTTTCCATTCGTTTGATGTGTTTGAGCTTTTGATTTTGCCATTTGATAAAGGACTTTCCGTTTTGAATTTTCCTTGGACTTCGGTATTTTTGTTATTTTACTTTTCACCAGAATACATATATGTGACTAGCCACAAGATTTCCAGGCTTATGGGGACTACATGTACCTAGTCTATAATAAAATTATTGCATATTTGTATACTAAAAGAAATCATCCTGTCAAGTTGTTATGACAGATTTGTTGATACCAATGTATAAAAAGGGTCTTTTTCAAGTTTTTGTATATCGGCATAATGAGTATATATTCATTAGCGTCTTTTTGATTAACACACGCACACAAATTTCAGATGTACTAATTTACAACAACATGAACAATGCACACAGCTGTCTGTTTTTGCGTGAACCCCCTGAGGTGTTCACGCTTATATATTGGTGAGTTTTGGAAGTGTCTATGGGCCATTCGATATCCTCGGAATCAAGATTCTCGGAACATCTAAGCATTTTTCGATCATTTATACAGGTAGTTATCTATGTCTTTGATACGGTCCCTCTATGGATGGTATACCACGTGACATTGTATATTTCAACAATCACAGTTCATTTGTAGATTGGATAGTAAAACAATAATGACTAGATTGCAGTCAACAAATCATTTATATGTTAGCACCTATTTGCCTTTTGACAAAACATATGTGTTTTCAATAATGCGAATATTTATTAAATATCAAGAATAATGAAAATGCAATTATATAATTCATTTTTTGAGACGGTCCCTGTACGCGTTTGGTGTGTAGTATTTAATACAGCGTGCTGTTGTGCATTGTGACAATTAACCTGGGAATAGTTTATTGATATATATAATGTCCCATAATAAACTGATTATTTCTGAACGTTTATCATTTGATATTTTGTATTTCAATCATAGCATGGGAAAATGTCGGAAAGCATGAAAAAAATAAAGAAAACGATATATCCGTTATAAATATTTATCTTAGGTCGGAAACACAGTGGTCGGAAAGCAGAAAGACAATTAATCAAAAGGATTTTTCTGTCAAAAATATTTAATTCCATTAATAGATACTACCAGACCAAGAGAATATTCATTATTAAGTTTAAACTGAAACTGAATTTGTTCTTAATAGAATATAATTAAAAATGTTATATATACGTGCATTATGTCTCACAGGTTTGAACAGTCATTACATTTATGAAAATTATATGAAACGTATTAGTACCAATGAGCAGGAATGCGTCCCCAAAGTTAGCTAAATGTATAAATTTTAAATGGTAGTGAATGAACAAATACTTGCATGGTTTTAATTCACAAGGATTTTAAATCCTTGCATCTCACAAAAAACGTAATTAATATTTTACAATAATCATAACAAAATTTAATTACTATGTTAATTATTTTATACTGCTTTAGTATGGATTTATAAGTCTCTGCTTATATTTTGTATAGCAATATATTCATATAGTGGAATGTTAGACTTTAAGAAGAGAATGATTTGATATATAAAATGTCCATCGTAATAAGTTGACGTTATGTTTAATGATATTGTATTCTAAATTATCGGAAAAAAATCATTAACTGGAATGAATGTTAATTATAAAATTTCAATTCTTATTATTTGTTTGTTTTAACAGTTCAACCTTATAGCATCTAAATCTTTGCACTATGGTACGATTTTGAAAATTGTATGCACTTTGTTGACCAGCTATCCTACAAGTCTTAGTTCATTCGCATTATATATCAAATAGTTCACACGCACACTATCGGTTTGTGTTCACACACATTCCGGATTAAATGGCAATGAATCCGGAGTCAAAACACTTGAGGTAGGTAGTTTGATATCCTCAACTACTAGTATTAATATATGTAATGACGCAAATGCGTATTCTTATCCACAGTATCAGTGCGTTTGCTTTCTATTTACTTTTTCTTGTGCAAAAATACCACGTGCATGCATAAATATTAATTTCACTCGCGAATGTGAATTTTCGCTTTTCTTATTTAAATTCAGGACACGGCAGTAAGAGCTTGACATATGACTTTCAAGCATGGTCATCATTACTCGGAATTCTGACCTCTAGCTGTTTCTCTTTTCTTTTCTTTTTTGAGTAACTGTCCTATTATAAACTTTGACATTTTCGAAATGCTAAGGATTTTCTACCCCAGGAATAGATTACTTTAGATGTATTTGGCAAAACCTTTGTTTCGAAATTTTGGGTCCTGAATTTCTTTCAACTTCGTACTTCATTTGGCCTTTTTAACTTTTTTTTTATTCGAGCGTCACTGATGATTCTTTGTAGTCTTAACTCGCGTCTGGCATACAGCATTTTAATCCTGGTATCTTTTTATATCTACATATCTTTTTATATAAATTGGTTCATTTTAGAGTATGTTCATGTATTCATAAAACTTCTGAAAATAAGATATTCCTCAAATCCAAGTTTTTGATATTTGGTTTGATTAAAATTTGAGATGTTTTATGAGACCAAAATAAGTCTCTATATCAGAGGTCCCAATGGAGCTGGTGTGTTACTCTCAAGAAAAATACACGAAACCTTATATGTTGCATGCAACTGGGTTTCACTTCACATGGAAATTGGACTTTAAATTTATCTATACAACATCTACCACGAGTACAGACTGCTTCAATAACGAGTTAAGAATAATTGAAGGCATCCAGGAAACAAAATATGAAGATATGATTATAGATAAAATAAATGCATGCAGATTATAAAGCAAACTGAGTGCTTAAATTTATATTGCGATTGGTTTGTGCAATTTGCATTAGACATCCGGTTTGCAGGAAGTGGGATTTGCAATAGGATTATGAAAAAATGTTGTACACTCCCAAGTAATAAATAAAATAGTCAAGCCTTAAAATGTATATATACACTTTTCTATTCACAACTATCCAACATTACTTTCGATTGACTTGTGCAAGAATCTACACACAATTACACTTTTTAAATAAAGGTGTTTTAACATCATCATTATCTTATTCTATTCACAGTCAACTATTTCAATTCAAAAGCAAACAAAAATTCAGCAACAGTTTTTTGGTGACCAGTCAGCGGTCTTGGATTCACGTATTGTTTTTCTTTTTTTAAAGAAAGCAACTTGTTTCTTCTTCAGAAAATAAAATTAACACTTGTTATGAAATTATTTTAAAATTTGCCTAAATGAAAACTTGTAGCAGTTTTTTTTTTAAATTTGTCTTAAAAATTTGACAGTTTTCTCTTAAACACATACATGTAACATGCGAAGCGTAACAGTTTTTAGAATGAAGTAGTTTACAAAATGAAATCTCATATATGCATATGATACGGTGCAGTTATTATAATAATGCAATTTTAATGGTTCTAAATATGAAAACTCAGTAAAGCAGAAAATTTGAATTGTAAACCCATTGAAAGTTGTTTATCAATTTATGCAGGAGAGAGTAATTTCAACTTAAAGAATAAAAAAAAAAAACACAAACAAACAAAACATCAAATTTCTTCAGGATTTATGTACTTGCCAGCAAAAAATGAAACCAAATTAAATTGCAATACCTATAAACGCGTCATAAAATCACGATTTAGATTGGTTCTCTCTGGATCTCAAGCTACCTGTAATTCCGAATGATTAATTGACGATTTTTCATTAACTAGGCCTTAGTTCAGGCATTAGTGTGTACCCACCGTAGAGCCGTGGAATATCTATACTATCAAAATATCGAAGTCCAATTTGTAAGCCGGCATGAGGCAAAAACGACGAGTCAAAGAATTCAACTTTATATATAACTAATATAGGACAATGGTGTTGATTAAAAATTACACCATTCCGTGCCTTTTTGTTTTCCACATAATTGATAATTAAATTCCGGGTCGAATCCGATACCGATAGCAATAGTATATGTCACATGTAGTTTCTGGTTGTAGTAAGAAAACCAGGACGGGTTATATTAAAACAGAAAGATTTTGAACACAGAGAAGACTGTGCACATTAAAATCAGCATGACTTTATCAGATGCCAATACGAATACTAAAAGTCCAGGCTAAAAAATAAGACGTAGGTACTTTCCATTTTTTTAGCCGGCTTGACGTAAAAACGACGAATCAAAGAACTCAATATATTTTTTCCACATACATGTAATTAATATTACCAATGATAACAAAAGTTCCGGGTCGGCGGGTTCAAACAGAAAGATTTTGAAAGCAGGGAAACTGTGCACCTTATAATCACCATGACTTTATCAGATGACAATACGAATACTAAAAATCCAGGCTAAAAGTAAGGCGTAGGTACTTTGATTCAGTCATGCGATGTCAAGGGTGTTGTTCTTGTAACAACTTATAAATTCGGATTATATATGCCTCAATGAACTTATCTAAAAATTGTTGCAATAGTGTTTTTCTTCACAGATAAAGATGCTGCGAGACAAAGAGTATTAACTGATCAATGGTGAATCAATTCTTTACAACAATGGATTTTACGACAATATTGATATTTGTTATTGCATTGATGATATCCTACATGGTTTGCAACCATTTCTTCACTGTTCACATTGATATTCCTGGACCGCAACCATGGCCAATTATAGGCAACTTACCTCACGTGGCTGGAACCAGAGATCCTGGAAAGAAAATGCTGGAGTTCAGGAAAAAGTATGGGGACATGGTGTTCTTACGATTCGGTTCCCAACCTGCCTTATTCTGCTTCGGATATGACATGGTCAAAGAAGCTTTAGTAAACAGTGGCGACAAAACAAAGTTTAGACCAAACTGGTTGTATCTTTTTAAAAAGATGTTCCCTAAGACAGGTAGGCAGACTAACGTATGTCTGGAATGAATCGTTGCTGTCTATTAATACTAAGTGGGAATACACTAAAAATCATCAGAAGGAAAACGTTGATGTGTGTGCCGTTTTTATGTACAGCTTGAGTTCAATTTATCAAACGATTAATTTTCCGTAAATAGGAAAAGAGATAATAGGTGTTAAAGTCGATATAATTTTAAGACTATCGTTAAAAATTTGAAATTAAAAAATACAAAGATAACTTTTATTTTCTTAAAGTAAAACAGCATACTAGTAAGCACAGTCGTCATACAAAAAAATTAAAATTTCGGTACGATTGCCAACATTTATAGTCATACCATTCCATTTTTTGCCTATACAAATTGACTGTAAGGCTGCCACCACTGATTAAAAGTATGTCTGTAGTTGAAAAAATATAAATTGCGTTTTACGTTTGATGTCCACTAATTTTTTAACAGGAATATTCTTCAGTAATGGACAACCATGGTCCGAAGGACGAAAACTTACATCGGTAGCGTTTAAGGATTTTGGTGTTGGAAAAAGAACAATTGATGAACGCATAAGCGAAGAGGTTCAGTTTCTAGTGGACGAGTTCTCCAAACATTCAGGAGAGCCGATACAGGTCAACACAGTGTTTCCAATGGCAACATCCAATATTATTTCAAGCATAGTATTCGGATCAAGGTAACAGAATCAATTTAAAATCAAGTAACTGCTTAGTTCGCTTATTTGAATGTTTTCAATGCAATAAGCCATTTATGCCGTAAAAATTGTCAAGTTAAGTTGTTTAGTTTTCATCACGAAATGAAATCCGTATTTGTATCAAACCTTTTTTCTTGTGTAAACACTGTGTCTTAGGACTGAGTCATATATAATTATGTACGGCTTGCAAAACAAAATGTATTATTCAGAAAACTATTTTCTTTTCAAATCAAGAAGTTCAAGGATCTATGAAGATATTCTTGCGTGCATTGACCTTCATTTTGGTGACACAGGGAATAATAACTTACCATCTATGAGGGTCTGGATGGGGGTAATTGATTTCTATATTCTTTAATTTTGTAGGTAATTTTTCTGTATTCTTTATTGTTTTGGCCCATTTTTCTCTATTCTTTATATATTAGCACCCCATTTTTCTCTATTCTTTATATATTACCGACCCATTATTCTCTATTCTTGATTTTTTCGCCCTATTTTTCTCTTTTCTTTTTTTTTGCCATTTATTCTGCAGATTTTGCCCATTATTCTCAACTCTTATTAATATATTCAGTTTTGATAAATTAAGAAATTATCAAGAAACTATGGTTTAAACTCACTCAAGCACAGTTGACCTATTTTTAGGGTCTTGAAGGATGGTCCTTCAATTCTGTATTCTTTAACTTTTTGAGGCGTCTTTCTCTGTTCATTATACATGTTATAAATTTTGCCCATTATTTTCCATTCTATATATTTAAGGTGGTACCTAACACTACAGGGAGATAACTCTGTAAAAATCAGCTAAACGTTTTAATTATGTTGTATTGTTAAGGAAATATTAAGCTTCTCAATGATCAAAATTAGTGTTTGTCAAACTGCTATATAACCAATGAAATTTTTCTGATAAAGTGGTTGGTTCAAATTTTTTGAAATTTTTATATTTTTGTCAAAGGGTCAAAGTAAACATTTTGTCAAAATTTTATGAAAATTAAACGAGCCAAATTAATATTAGTCAAGGTGTTGGGTACCACCTTAAGCACCCAATTATTCTCTATTCTTCTTTTTTTTTAGTCTTTTTTCTCTATTCTTTATTCTGCTACTTTTTGCCCAATATTCTCTATTCTGTAACCCCCATCCACACCCTCTTTTATTTGTAGAATCTGATGAATTTGGCTATGACGTTTCAGGTTCCTTATGACCATATATTTCACACGTTTATGAAAAATATACATTTTTTTTTTCGAATTTGGCTTTCGATTGTTTGAGTTTGAGCATTTCAAACTCATAAGTCGAAAATAAACTTACAATGCCATGGCAAAAAAAAAGAAAGAAAAAGACCAAAAGACAAACAACAGTACACACAACCCACATAGAAAACTAAAGACCGAAAACAAGAACCCCACCAAAAACCGAGGTAAATATAGATTATAAAGTATTATTTTCGTTTATATCATCAGCTGGAAACATGTACAATTCTATTTTCCAGGTTTACCTACGACGATGAAGAATTCAAGGCGATGTTACAACACATCTATTTCTTTTTCAAAAACCTGAAAGTCATTGCACCACAGAACTTCTTTCCTATACTGGATAAGATCATGCCTTGGAGTTCGGTAAGTACCCGTATGATGTTTAAATAAAAGATTTAATATGGAATGCCAAATCCATACATGAAGGTCGGATGGGAGGACCTTCATTTCTTTATTTTTATAGACCTTTTTTCACTATTCTTTTTTTAACACCCATTATTCTCTATTTTTTTTAATTTTTGCCAATTATTATGCACGTCTTGTCCATTATTCTTTATTCTGTAAAACCCCATCCAGACCCTCGTGCATTATATGATTTTTTCCTTCTTTATGACAAATAATAACATTAATGTAGTGAAACATGCTGATCAGGGGTTTCGGTCATAAAACAAACTCAGTATTCTGAATATAAAATGTGTGCTCGAAACACTAGTTGAATCTCATTGGTTGATTTCTGAGTCTGAGGACGATGATCTTACTCGAAATTATTATGAACTCAAAAGTAAACTGGAACTGTCGAGGAGTTTGAGTTATTGAATGTAGGTGAAGGAGACTTTTATTGAAGGTGTTTTTAAAGCCGTCAAAAAAAAATTGAAGAAAATCAGTATGTCGAACCAGTTCAGTTTGTACATGACGTCGCACAAGATCCACTATTGTGAAATTTATAATACTAGTCGACTCTGTTCAAGGCTTACCATCGATGTATCTTTGTCTGGAAACCAGGCTACAAATTTTTAAGTATGATTCTGCCACTTGGTTAATATATAAAAAAAATCCTATATCTTCTGTATCATAGAGCAGTTTAAACCAACATAAATTGTTTTTATTTACATACACAATTTTAATAGTTACATTGTTTTTACACAGCATGCCCAAATAAATGAACACTTGGCAGCAATTAGGACATTTGTAAGTACCAGGATTGAGAAACAACGAGATTCATTTGATCCAGAAAACATTCGGAATTTTCTAGATCTTTACCTTGAACAAGAAAGAAAACCAGAATCAGTAATTTCAGGTTTGAATTAATTAACTTTTATGCCCCTAAGTGGGGCATTATGTTTTTCGGTCAGTGCGTCCGTTCTTCCGTTCGTCCGTCTGTCAGTCCGTTCGTCCGTCTGTCCCGCTTCAGGTTAAAGTTTTTGGTTAAAGTGTTTGGTCAAGGTAGTTTTTGATGAAGTTGAAGTCCAATCAACTTGAAACTTAGTACGCATGTTCCCTATGATATGATCTTTCTAATTTTGATGCCAAATTAGAGTTTTGACCTCAATTTCACGGTCCACTTAACATAGAAAATGATACTGCCAGTGGGGCATCCGTGTACTATGGACACATTCTTGTTTAATTTCCTGCATTTCATAATTTTCCTAGAGAGGGGCCTTGGTGACCAAGAGGTCTAAGTAGTGAGCTTACAGTTATCACTAGCCTGTCAATACTGAGGTTTAATGTAGGAACCCCGCTCGTCGCGAGTTGGGTTCGTTCCAATCATAACCGACAAAGATTGACAATTTTCCTGCCAAAGGTCTGTGGTTCTCTCCGGACACGCTAGGTTCCTACACGAATACAAATTGGTTACCACCATATAGCTAAGTTTGCTGTAGCGTTAAACACAAACAAACAAACAAACGAAACAATGGAAATGTCCCTCTTCATGATAAGCAAAACCCTCCCGGTATTTATGTTCTGACATATATTTTTTTTTATTATTTTGTTTGCCTTCATTTCATTTTTAATATAAGATGATGTTAAAATGTTAACACGTTATGCAGTTAAAGACGCACATTCCATTTGAAAAAGCGATGAAGAATAAACAAGATGGCGAATTTATAAAAAAAAACGTAATTTAACATTTCATTCTCATATAGAGGTATGGGGAATAATAGCAGTTTCATGGTTTTAAGAAAGCTTTGATATTATCTGAAAGTTTATACTACAATTTTCAGAGGGCTTTATATTCCAAGTAATAGCAGACCTTTATGAAGCTGGGACTGATACTACATCTACCACTTTAACATGGTGTATGTTGTTCATGTTGAATTTCCCGGATGTTCAGAAAAAGTGTCGAGAAGAAGTTATGACGGTATGATGTGCCTGTGTATTTGTGTGTTTTTTATTGTTTATATTTTCAATATTTTTATTGGATAGTTTATTTTAGTTTTTGAAATGTTTTCAATTTGATTTTTATAATGGTTGGTTTTTTTTATACAAAAATAAGGTTATAGGTATGTTTCGACATACTGCTCAAAATGTCGATATAAAATGTAGACGTGGTATGATTGCCAATGAGACAACTCTCCACCAGAGAGTGGTGCAGAAAAAATTCATGTTTAAAACATCTGTATCTAGAAATTATATAGGGTCCGTCGGAGTATATTTAATTTTTTTCTCCGATGCAGGTTATTGGTGATGGCAGGTACCCTTCAGCCAGGGACAAAGACTCTCTGCCATATACTATGGCTACAATACGTGAGATACAAAGAACTGCGTCTGTAGGTATGTTTTAATTATTTAATATCGATCATTTGGAATGTACACGGCTATTTTCAATCAACAATTTGGAACATTATAATATCAATGTATCTTAAATTTTTCTCCAAATTAGATATAGCTATTTTGTTTATATTTATATAAAATTGTTCTTTATTCTAGAATGTTATTTCTTCCATGCAATTTACTACAAAATTTATGTAGCGATTGGATTATTAATTGTTTGAAATTTAATTATTTACACAAACAAAATACTACATATTCTATTGTAATAAATACAACTTGCCATTTCTCTTTATGAAGCAATTAAATACTAATTTGTAGAAAAAGGAAAAGACTATTATCGTATTCGTGCGATTTGTTTTGAAAAATAATAAAGATTTAAGACTACTTATTAAAGAATCTTAGCAATATGAATGAATGGAAAAGTAGAGTATTCATTCATACCGCCTCGGTACCCGTGGTGTCGGTGGTCTCGTGGTAGCGTACTCACATCGCCGAGTGCATGAGGTCGAAAATTCAACCCTTGGCTAGGTCAAACTAAAGATTTGCTGCCTGTCCGCTTAGAAATCGTCATTTAAGAGCAAAGACTAGTCATCCCGAAGTCAGAACAATATGCTCGGGTAGAGTGACACGCTTCCTGTGGACTGTTACCTTGGGACCTTGTAAGTTAACAATCCGTCTCATCGTGCGGGTCTAGCAGAAAGTAGGCTTTATATACAATCACACATTAACATGTTTACGTCTGGAGTATGCATTGTTTTAGTTGATTTTAGTCTCTGATGCATGATTTTTTATTATTAATAGTTTTGGCTTTTAACTAGCTGTCAGTAACTGCGAGTACTCTCAAATCGTACTTTCTTGTTTATGAGACCTGTTGATACTAATTGTATTGCTTTTTTGTTATTTAATGTTATTCAGGGTTATATCTGGTCTATTTACCAGATTTGATCAGTGTTTGGTATAACTATAAATTTTCACTTCGTACTATGAACATCAAAATTATTTATTTTGTAAAAATATTTCCTTTCTCTATTGGTACTGTACACGTATACCTAACAACTAAATTATTTTCATTTAACTGTGTTTAAAGTTATTGCAAATGGCTGATATTTTTGTTCGAGCATATTGTTTTTCTTTAATTGTTTAACATTTCTTACCGATATAACATGTTACTTTTATTATTCTTCCCTTAGTTTATTTATTTTGTATTTACATTGTGTCATAGGTCAAATTTATTTGTTCAGTGTATGTTCAATGGTGTTAATATGTCCTTTGATTGAGTTAAGCTATTTCAGTTGATATTTTATAGTGTGTCTTTCTATGTTGTGATGTTACACTATTGTTTCAGAAAAAGGGTGAAGGTTTGGTACCATTAAAACGTTTAAACCCGCTGCATTTGTTTGCACCTGTCCTAAGTCAGGAATCTGATGTTCAGTAGTTGTCGTTTGTTGATGTGGTTCATAAGTGTTTCTCGTTTCTCGTTTTTTTATATAGATTAGACCGTTGGTTTTCCCGTTTGAATGGTTTTACACTAGTAATTTTTTGGGGCCCTTTATAGCTTACTGTTCGGTGTGAGCCAAGGCTCCGTTGTGAAGACCGTACTGTGACCTATAATGGTTTACTTTTATAAATTTTGACTTGGATGGAGAGTTGTCTCATTGGCACTCATACCACATCTTCTTATATCTATTTAACCTGCCACTGAACGTTAACCAGTCATCCATCATTATCATTTCATTCCAACACCGACTACTCCATAAATAGACGGACAAATTGAAACACAAAACAACGAATAACAAATGCTCTTTTCAATCCGAAATCGTAAAGGCACACATTGTGGCTGGTTCAAAGCAGCTTTACATACACGTACGTCTCGTCTTTGCCTATCTCGAACATAATTTGGTAGGAAGGGTAAAAATGCCCTAAATCTGTTATAAACGTGTCGGTCCTTTTTTGTCCAAATGTCAGTCGGTTCTCCTATTATTACTAAAGCCAAAGATGCGAAAATCTTAAAGACACATTTTCTTATATTCTTCTTTCAGCCCCAATAGCTACACCTCATGCTGTACTAGAAGACACGTTAATTGCTGGCAAACTAGTACCAAAACAAACTATTATCTATTGTCACCTGATGTCTGTTCAAAATGATACAACTCGATGGAAAGAACCAGAAAAATTTCGACCCGAAAGATTTCTAGGGGAAAATGGACAACTGATAAAACCTGATGCTTTTTGTCCATTTTCTATGGGTAAGATTTTGGTTTTTTTGCGTTTGCGTCATTCATTTCATAATATGGAAATATGCTCTGAATACCTCGTCTGACAGTTATACAACTTTCGAGTACCTTTGTACTCAGGCTCAGAAATCAACCAATCAAAATACTAGATTTGGGGTTTCGATCAGAAATTTTGTACTCAGACTACTGAGTTTATATTTCTGACTACATAGCCTGATCCTTAAGCTGTCCATCGTACAGCGTTTGCGGAAAGGTGGCTACCTTTCTAGAATGATTCTACTACTTTAATCGCCTTGCGGTTTAGTTTCACATCAGGATAGTTCATATTTCTTCATTTCTATATTTTAACGTTTTTTTCTTTTAAAGAGCATTACCTACACATCGAAGGACTCGAATCGATCTTCTTGGTGTAATATATACGATAAAAAACAACAACAAAAAAAAAAGAAATGAAGTAAATAGTAGAAATTGGTGTCAATGTAATAGTCAAAATAAACGATTCGTTTTGCATTTTTTGTAGTTCATGATCGTATTACGTTATGGGGTTCCATTCGAAAAAGGGAAGTAATTCCAAGGAACTTCTTGTAAGATGTGTGTTCAACTACAAAAGTAAAGTCGCGATGAACAGTTGGCAGTCATTTATGAATGTCTTACCTTCTTTACCCATGATGATACATTTTAGTAAATAGTTAATAAGAAATTATCCAAATCGGCCTCGCTTTTCATTGTTATATTATATCCCTGCTCCGAAGGCGGAATGTACTGTATTTTCGTCCCTTTAAATTGCCATCGCATTTTCCCCAGGAACTACGAATCATAGCTCCCTTAAATTGCTTCCTTAAATTTGGTATGAACTTCCTGTGAGCATGTTATTCCGTGTGACACGTTTTCACATTAACTTTTTTACCGGAAACTACAAATCAGAGTTTCCTGCGATTGGTTATTAGGATATCATGCATTTCCTCATTCCTCACTTATCAACTTCCGGTTTACCGAAGGCTTACATTTTCTTAAATGAATGCAACTAACGAGTTGGTCAATTCAACCGATTGTATTTCAAAACTTCAAATTTTTTTTATATGTATGTTCATAATTTTCTCACTTCTGCAGGTCCCCGATCTTGTATCGGACAACAGCTGGCAACAAACGAAGTGTTTTTGTTCCTTACGTCATTGATTCAGCGGTTTAATTTTGTCAAAGTAAACACAGACGAGGAACTTTCACTAGAAGGAGAACAGACGGGGATAACGCGCCAACCAAAACCATTTAAGATGTATTTTGAACCAATTTAGTACTTGCATAGCATCATATTAGCTCAGATCAAGAACTTTCAGTGGAAGGAGAACAGACTGGGATAACGCGCCAACCAAAAGTTTGAGTCAATCTTATTCTTACATGAAATTATTTTGCTCGTCTTTGTTTTGTTAGAAAGTTGTATTAATCAATTAGAAAAAGCACTTTATAAGGAATGCAATCTGAAACTTCTCTCGTGTATTAGTTAGACATTTATTTTGATAGTGTGTCATGGTACAATCTTCGTTGAACTAAAATACTTGTTTTTTTATATAAAAATTCCGGATTAGATGGGCATCCATTCTGTTTGATATAATACAAAATAATGTTCTAGTAATTTTAAAAGGTTTTGTCAATTGCACTAATATTTGGGAAACTGTCCCTGAAAGAACATACGTTTGACCCGCAAGGTTATGTATTGTGATATTTAATCGGAAGAGTATTCACCAATATCAAATCATTTTCCCTCTAGTATATCATTGTTTTTTATTTGTTTTATTTAAAAATTTGTAATATGATATAATAAATGAGATTTTTTTCTAAAGGAAACAACTAATTTCCAATGAAAATTTATGGCGTAGTTTTCATTGATTCTTGCACTATTAAAATGTTGCTTACACAGATTTAACTTTTTTTCATACAATATGCATATCAGCAACTGTTTGATCTCATTAATGTAGATTTTATTGGAGTTCATTCATATACCGTGACATATATGTGTAAATAACATACGAAGTTATATAAGTATGCAAATGCTACGGATGAAAGCAAACTAATAATTATATTCATTGAGCAACAATTGTACATTAACCGTCTGACACAAGTTTGTTATATTCATGTCTTAAGGTCGCTCGGGTGTCTTCCTCCATCTTGGATTTCGAAGTAGCATATAACGTTGGTCTAGATATTTCATGAAATGTGCAAATTTTGAGAGTAGAATGTAGTTTATGTGAAAGACTTTTGATGTAAATATAGAAAATTGTGTGTTTAATCATAATTACGGCTGTAATTTCTCAAAAACACTTTATTTGTGTTTGATTAGATTTTTTTTCAACTTTGCCAAATAAGGGGAGATAACGCAGATAAAGTAATTTTTATAATAGAAAGTGTTGTGAATTTACCTATATTGATATGTAGCAAGAAAACAAGTTCGGTGACCCCATTTTTTCTTTTTCTTATCTCAAAGCATCTTATAAGAGCTATCTTCTCACATTTTATCTGAAAGTTCTATCAAGTAGTTTTCTTTTTATCACACAAAATTTGATTTTCCATGCATACTCTATACAAAATCTGACAATTTTGCACAACCTCTAGCGTGAAAAAAAGTTCGGTGACCCATACTTTTTATTATATTTTTGAAAAACGCATGATAAAAACTTCATTTTGGCAAATTATCAAAAAATTCTATCAATTTTGATTAAGACGCCCCAGCCACCTTGAACGGAACAACAATGTGGTGTGCCCCATATTTCTGTTTGGTTATTTTGCAAAAAAAAATTCAAACTTTCAAAAAGCGAAATAATCAAAACTGCACATGAAGTTTGGTATTTTTAGAGTTTGATTCAATATCTAAACTATCAAATTTTAAAACGAATTTAAAAACTTAAGAATTTTAATTATTTGGTGAAATTTTCAAAATTTCAAAAAGGTTAAAAATTTGGAATGTTGATATTATAAAACTTTGATAAAAAATCCAAAAATCTATAATTTGAAAACTTTTTAAAATTTTGAATTGATAAGTGTTACACGGACCTTTTTACAAGTACACTTACTACCATACAATATCTCAATATTCAGTTATGTATGGAGTCGGTCGGTGTATATTTGTGTTCATTAGTTTTTCGTTTTGATATATCAAAAACAAAATTCGAAAAACGAAAGAGTTTTTAATTTTCGTTTTTAATTTCACAAGACAAAAACAAAACGAAAAACGAAAACACTTACACGGACCGGGGTTAAACATTTTTGCGGGTGAAAGATTCTTACAAATAATCAATTTTATTGATAATGTAAACAGTAGTTAATTCTATTGCCAGTTATGATTTGTTTTGCCTTTTTATACACTCTTCTTCAACATACTCTGGCCGGATCTTAAATTTGTAGAATAATTTAATGGGCTTTTGATAAACCAGCTTTTTAATTCATCTGCTGCAATAATAACCTGTCTTTCTTCAGTCGTAAAAGATCTGAAAATCAGTATTCATTTACATTCGCAGACTTCGAACATCTTGCTGACAATATTTATCTTTTTCATAACGGATATGCATCTTCTTTTGTTAAAATTAACTTTAGACATGTTTTGAAAGAATTGCAAATACCAACATGATGCATATACAATCAAAACACGGTGTTTATCAAAGATACTGAATCAATTTAAATAAAAGAACTCATACTAAATAAAGTTAATAACAATAGTCAATATTGTTAATTTTGTGACATAAATTTATGGATGTAAAATGGAAAGTATATTGCAAACAAGGCACCTCCTTTTCTTTTAGAGTGCAATGTTGCTCTTGTACCATACTATGGCGTGTTTATTTCGCATCTACAATGTAGTACTGTTTGCTGGAATATGTTCTATCAAGCTGACAACTTGCATTACCTTAAAAGTTGTTTAGACAGGGTCACAGTAACTGAAAATTTTTGAATATTTTTTATCGTCGTTATCAAACTTTAATCTGTAAATTAATTTTTTTTACAAAAATATCTCAAAACGGTATGGCACAGGCTAAACCAAGTAAGTGTAAACCGGTGATTGAGTTCGTGAAGAGATTAATAATCTTATGTGTGTGTTAAGTCAGTATTTCACCATAATAGCAGGTGTACAAATATATGTAGACAATTGTTCTGTGAAGTTTCGAAGGCGTGTATTGAAAAGTATAGTCACCAAATAATTACACTTAATCGGTATCAGTTTCGCGACTCATTCGACTTCCCCGTACATATATTATTTGTTAATGTTATGTATTGGTGTTTTGAATTATTCTAAATGTTCGCTTGACGAGCTCATCTCATATTTATAGTGAACTCTACTCGAGTGATGGAGGTCGTGGTTTCAATCCCCGATCGGACCAAACCAATGATTTGAAAATCTGTATTTCGTGTTTCTCCGCTATGCACGCATCATTTAGGTTTTAAGGAGACTGGTCGACTCGGAGTCAGAATAATGTGTACGGGTAGGGTAAACTATATTGTGACAATTTCGATCAGCGTGTCGGTCTAGTAAAACGAAGGGTTCAAAGGTATATCACATTACCTTTTTTCGTCCTGAACATGCAATTAATTTGCAAATGGACGATAAAATCTATAATCATCAATATCATCATCTTATGTAGACCTCATTTTCACAATTCACTGATTGTCTTCATTTATTTCTTCTCACTCAATTATTTAAAGTTTGATGACTATCTTGAACGCATCTATCCGATCGAACTTGAAATGAAGGATACAACAAATACAGTTAAGACTGCCTCATATCTTGACTTACATCTAGAAATTGACAATGAGTGTCGGTTGAGAACAAAATTTTACGACAAAATAGATAATTTCAGCTTTTTAATTGTGAACTTTCTTTTTCTATGGAGCAACATTCCAGAAGAGCCTGCATATGGAGTAAATATCCCCAGTTCATACGATATTCCAGGGTTTGTATTTCCCATCGTGATTTCCTTGATAGAGAGTTGCTACTCACAAGAAAGCTATTAAACCAAGAGTTTGAATTTGATATTGCAGTTGAAATTATCCCTTCGAAAATCTCGTCTCCTTAACCTCAAATATTACCTACCGAATTATACTTATCCCCGAGTTTGTACTTTTTTTGGCTGTTTGAGCTTTTTTTGCCATTTTATAAAGCACTTTCCGTTTTGAATTTCCCTTGGAGTTCGGTATTTTTGTTATTTTACTTTTTACATGAGTAACACGAATGGTGCCACACGTGGAGCAAGATATGCCTGCCATTCAAGAGTACCTGAGATCACCCCCCCCCTTATTGTTGGCTTTTTGTTACCACATTGTTGGCTGTTTATTACCAAATTGCTGGCTGTTAGTCACCATCCATATTGTTGGCTTTTTGATACCACATTGTTGGCTGTTTTTTAACCACATTGTTGGCTGTTAGTTACCACATTGTTGGCTGTTTATTACCACATTGCTGGCTGTTAGTCACCACATTGTTGGCTTTTTGTTACCACATTGTTGGCTGTTTGTTACCACATTGTTAGCTGTTTGTTACCACAATGTTGGCTGTTTGTAACCACTTTATTGGCTGTTTGTTACCACATTGTCGGCTGTTAGTTACCACATTGTTAGCTGTTTGTTACCACAACGTTGGCTGTTTGTTACTACATTGTCGGCTGTTAGTTGCAACAACTCCGAAACATATAAATGAACCGAAATTAAAAAAACATACAAGACTAACAATGGCCAGAGGTTCCTGACTTGGGACAAACATGTTTCCTCAAATTATATATTTAAAGCCCTGTTACTCTGGATCGACAAATGGGAAAAATTTTCCAAAAAGAAATGGAGTGTTCTTCCATTGATTCAAATATTCCATACAAGTTTTGTGAAACTTAATCAAAGCATCCTTTCTTTGTATTTTTTCTAATTATTAGTTTTTTAGGCGGTAAGAAATCTTTGGCGAACCAGATGAAATCAGTGGGCGTAACAGATAAATGTAAACATGATCTGAGCCAGGCAATGGATGGTCGCAATAGGTTAATAGATAATAAAAAGTTTGATATTAAGATAAGGTTTGTTCCAAAATTTCTTGTGGTTGTTAGGACGGAAGGCACTTACATTTACTAATATTTTGGGGTTCCCTCAGAACTTTGTAAAAATTCTAAGTCATTAAGTAAAATGAAAATTTTATAGCCTCCACTTAGATACTCCATACTTGGTTCAAGCCCTGCTTGCTTACTGCCATATAAATTGAAACAATTCATAAATTTGAACATGTTGTTTTACACATACAGTTATTGACATAACCTGTCAAGCTATGAAATTTGAAATCTTAAACTATCATAAATCTAGATATGTTGTTTGATTCAAACTAAATACTAGTGTAACAAAGTAGAAAATACAACTACTTCCTGATTAGTCCCTAAAACTTGATAACCTCCCGGAGCATCTGAGATCACATATGGTTGTTTTGGTTGGGTTAGTGTTGCTCAGTCTTAATTTTGTTTATGTTGTGTTTTGTATACTGTTATTTGTGTTTTGAAATCTTTTACTTTTTGTTGCCATTACATTGTCACTTTGTTTTCGACTTTTGAGTTTGGGTGTCCCTTTGGTACATGTATCTTTTATTTGCTATTTTGACCTGAGCATCAATGGTGAGTCTTGTGTAGACGAAACACGCGTCTGGCGTATTAAATTATAAGCCTGGTACCTTTAATAACTATTAGCTTGTCGTAATGTTCTATCGTATTGTTTATTTGTGTGTTTTGCTGTCCTGTATGTTCTTCCATTTATTTGTATTGTAGTCCTGTCATGTAATGTTGCCATTTTAGTGTTATATTTAACATTGCCATTAAAGCGGGTGGTTTGGCTAGCCACAAAACCAAGTTCAACCCACCATTTTTTCTTTAAATATCCTGTACCAAGTCAGGAAAATGACTATTGT